GATTGGGATGAGGGGAACAGAAGAGTGTTCCAAAAATGTAAAAGAGACAGACACTAAGGTAGAAAAAGGTGAGGTGAGTACTGTGAAAGGAGTCGAATATAACATTCAGTAGGGTAATGGTAGTTTGAGGCCCGAAGTCAACTGCCGGTTAATAGACTTTTTGCCGTATGCACAACGTGGAGGTTAGTCTATCGCACAACCCCTGATAAAGTTAACTTTACGCCCCGAAATTCAATACCCCGATGCTTGAAGCACATATGCTTTTTTTCACCAGAATAAGATTCATTTTTGTGAACAAATTTAATGAACTGTTTTTTTCAGATTATCCAGATATGTCCATGTTGGTCATAACTGACATGACTTCTACGAATCAGTGGTCATTGACGTTGGGAGCAAATGCCAAATTCGACTACCACAATTTGTTACCGGAGTTTCCTAAGAGTATTTAATTGAAACGGAGCTCTGTGAAATTATTTGGAATAAAAATCATAAGTGATAAATTGATAAAAGCCTAAGTAATCGGTGTACAAATCTCAAAACGCCTTACCACTTGAAGGTCATTTAAAATATTTAATTTGTAATTACCTTATTACTCTCACCTTGAAACCAAGTGGGATTTATTGATTAAAATTAAAAAAACAAAATGGAACATAATAATTTCCATACCATCAATTTATTATTTATTAGTAATTGTTATCGTTTCCCACAACATAAAATAATGAAATATCTTGTTTAAGTGAAAATGAACATTTATAAATACGTTTGAATGTTGTTCTTCCTTTCGTATTTCTGTACATTGCTCAAAGTTATTTATATTTAAGGTAATGTAAAAAAAATTACACATTTTTAATAAATAAACGTCTGAACAAATTTATTATTACATAGATAACAGCGGATGTCAAATTTCCCTGCAATTGCTGTCGGAAACAACAAATTAACTGATTTACCCATAAATTTGGTTTATGTCAATCAGACAATGCTTTCTCTTAATCTTACCTATCTTCTGCAACTTTCTTATTATTATTTTTATTAATATCTTTAATAAGAAAATACGTTTCTCTGAGTGTAATTGGCAGGAAATGGATAACTTTGATAGTAAAATAAGTTAAGGGAAAAAATAAGTCGTTGATTTATATCCGTTCAAAAAAAATCAAAAATAAAAATAATTCGTACTGAATTGAAGATAATTAGAGTAATTTGTTAATTTTTAATAAGCCAAAATGCATATTTTTTGTATTGTTAAATGATAGGAAGGCCGAATTTGCAGAACCTTTCAACTACGCCCTGACTTGCTTTTAACTTTATGATCGATAAAATTGGAAAAAAATCTATATCCTTTGTCCAATTAGATGTTAGCGAAATCTTAAATTCCTAAATTCAGAACCTAAAATAGATATATTGAAGTAGAAAAAACAAAAGGACTCAAAGCCTAAAAAGGTGATCCAATTCCGAATTGAGGTGAGTGTCACTGATTGTGGGTAAGCTAGACAAAGCAGAACAAAAAACGCTGGATGCTGATGGTACCGTAGGTTTCTGATACTGCATAAAGGAGCTGACTGGATGATCAAATTTCAAAGATGACAATTTAGAGCAAATTCAATAAAATTTGAAGGTACTTAAGATTCTACACTTGATAAAGGAAACAGTCAAAAATGAATTCTTAAACAAACTGTGTCTAAATCAATTTGCATTTTATAAAAAATGCCTTCTTAACGAGTATACACTGAGAAGCTAACAGTTACTAGAGGGAAAGGAGACCAAATTTTGAAGCATCTCTTTATTTTTAAAGTAAATTTAATGTAAATATTTCAGTATTATATAATATTTAACTTTAATTTACTTCCAGCTAAGGAGTTTTATTGACCTAGGCGGATCATGCACACAATCACGATAACTTTGGGGTCAAATTTTGATGTGGTAACTGAATTGGAAGGAAAACTGGAAGGTTGTCAATATGCTTCAAAAGAAATTTCCCCTCTCTTATACTAAAAAACTTCAAAACGGCTTTAGTTGTAACAACCTCGATTAGTTTATAACATAGAGTTAACTATGTTGATGAATATGAGACTATTATCGCAAAAAACTCCCAACTACCGGAAGGTTCAAAAACCCAACAGAAAACACCAACTTTTTATGATCTATATGGCATGACAATGTTACACCTGAAGGATATTCGAATAATTAGCTATCCATTTTGATTAGACGTTTGGAGAAAGTTTGTCAGTCAAGAGATTTCGATGATTTGGGCATGAAAAGATTGTTAATTTGATCCAAAAGGCAAAAACGGAAATTAAAGAAAGACTTTTTACATATAAAATTAATTTATTTGGGAAAAAACTTGTGTTAAGCATCATTGCTTCCGCATACCTTATATCGTGGGATTCTCGATTCTTGAGAATTGCCAAAAAAGACTCAAAAATGGAATTTGCGTGCATATGTTAATATATATATATATATATATATATATATATAAACCGGAAATGTTGCAAACCATAATCAGAGTAAATAAAAGTCACACAAAGAATTGCAAAATGAAATGATTTGAAACTAAAGATACTATTCTTACAACTTTTGGCCAATCAAATGACTTAAGGCGAGGCACAAGGTAGGAACATCTAGGTCATACATCTTGTACCAATCAATTATTTCCTGCTGCACTGAGAAGGAAAATGCTCAAAAGTGGTAAAGCGGTGTTTTCGAATGCGCCAAAGTGAGTCGTTAAGAGACTATAAAAATGAAAATAAAATGGTATATTTACTCTCCAATTAAGAAGGAAGTTTGAATCCCAGTAGACACTGAGCAAATAGGCAAATATGCTTTCATTTGGAGTTCAGAAATGAGTATTATCCTATTAAACACAATCATGGCTGCCTTAGTTTGTTCAAAATATCAAGTTTGGCAATGACATCCATTGTCTCAAAACAAAATTTCTACTTCTAAAGTCTTTTATAAATATTCGACATTATAAGTAGCTTTATTTTACTTGGTTAAAGTCACAAAGTCCCACTTTTGCTCTTTAATGGCTAATCATTCAATTTGTGGTTTTTTTTGTTTATATAATACGGATCAATAGGACAACAAGATTAAATACTAGTCATTTTGATTGATAATTCGTTTGTGTTTATTCAAGTTTATGACAAAGAAGGCAATGCAAGATGTTAACCGGCAATCAATCCTCAACTCCACTGTCACCTCTCCAAAATTATCCGCCAGTTTGGCAGCTCTTTCCCTACGGTCTTCGCCGCCACCTCCACCAGCTCCTTCATTTGTAAACAAACGCCTCAACCACCACAATGCCTCAATTCCACCTTCAAAGAATGCGTTGAAGTCTCTTTGTCAAGAAGCGGAAGATTTGATTCCTCTAACAACCACTGGAAGCCTGCATCCAACCCTCAATGCGTCATCTGCAGTCAATTCAGCCTCGGCGTCGTTGAAAAGGAGGGTGAATTTTGCCGACAGAGTGCACAAAGAGGGAAGCGGACCCCAACCCGCAAGTTGTAGATCTTTTGATGAAAGTGAAGGCATCGCACCAAAGATTAAACCTGCAATCAAGAAAGGTGATAATTGTAAAGATAGCTCCGATTCGATGAGTACTGGAAAACGATCAGTGTAAGTCTCGCTCAATCTTTAATCATTTATTTATTTCAATTGGCAGGCGTTTTGATAGATTTCATTAGCCCTTTAGCTGACTTCAGGCTTTACAGAGGAGGGGGAGGGAACATTAAAGTGGCAAAAATTCGAGAGGGGAGAACAGGAGAGTGTTTCAAAGATGTAAGAGACAGACAGGCACAAATGTTGAGTAAAAGGTAAGACTAAATCTGCTTAAATGGCCTAATATGCCATACAGTGGGTCATGGTAGCTAGAGTCAACTGAAGGTAGAAAAAAGGCGAGGTGAGTACTGTGGAAGTGGTGAAATATGACATACAGTGGGGTGATGGTAGTTTGAAGTCAGAGGTATATGACATACAGTGGGGTGATGGTAGTTTGAAGTGAGAAATAGGTAGAAAAAAGGTGAGGTTAGTACTGTGGAAGAAGTCGACAATGACATACAGTGGGGTGATGGTAGTTTGAAGTCAGAAGTTTATTTATTTCAAATGGCAGGCTTTATGATAGTTATTATTAGCCCTTTAGTTGACTTCGGGCTTCACAGAGAGGAAAAGGAACATCAAAGTAACAGAAAGTCGAGAGGAGGGACAGAATAATGATTGACAGCTGTGAAAGAGTCAGGCAGACACAAAGGCAGAGAAAATGTAAGATAATTACTATAGAAGTGGTTGAATATGACATAATTTCATGTTAGTTTGAAGTCAGAAGTCAACTACCGGTTAATAGACTTTTTGCCGTATGAGTATACGTTGCCCAGGGT